AAGCGGAGGCGAAAGAAGAGGCAGGCGAGGAGGCCATCTCCCCCTTGGAGCAGGACAGTCTCATGCCATCGGACGAGGCCAGTGACTCGCTGTCTCATGGCCAGAGGGGGAGCCCGTGTCATCAGGCAGGAGAAGAAGAGGAGGAAGAGGAGGATGAGTACGCCTCTCCCTGCCACGGCCGCACGTACAGGGGCATGTACCCTGCCCGCCGGGGGCACGCCGGGGGCCGCAACGTCAACAGCCACGAGTCACAGGACAGGCTGCTTCAAAGTGAAGCCCAGCAGGGTCACAACCAGAGGAACAACCGCCAGCGCAGCCGCCCTTGGCCGCGAGACACCTACTGATAAATCCACAACTCCAGGTCTATTTTTAGAGCATCACTTTTTCTCCGCCGAGGAGACATTTTGACATCTCCGGGAAGATTGTCAACAGGGCTCTTCCGCAATGGAATGTCTTCAGGCAAACTTGCGCTGCTTTGCCCGTGTTTCTCTATCGTAGGATGTCTCCATATACAGTATGCTGGCCTTAAAGAAAACATGTTCAGGCATCTTTACTGTTGCATGTGTGACTAGAGTATCATCACCTTTGAGAGTATTTGCACATTGATGCCAGAACAGGAGCTGAATGATCTTTACGGCGAAACTAATGTAGAAATGTTTACTGTTGAAACCACACATGAGAGGTACTAACGCATTTTCGGATCATGTAAATATGAACGGACGCCTAATTTATTTACATGGCTTCTTGATTTGGCCACGTGTTTCAGATACACGCTGCCATCCACCTGTTGTTGTTTTGCACATTTGGGAGATGGTGAATGGCGCATTGCAAATGTGAAGTTGCAATACATGTCCGTGTCATGCCACTAATACATTTCCTCTCTCTCGCGCCGATACTGCACAATCATTTGCGAACACCTGGAAAATGTTGACGGGCACAGACAATGTAAACATCTGATATTAAAAAAAAAAAAAAAAAAAAACGAAAGGGAATGTTGGTGCCCTAATTGTTTGTTTACGTTGACCCGTCCCTACACATGAAACGCTGTTCAGTGGCAGCTTTCAAGAATGTATGTTTGCATGCCTCAGTGCTTCTCTGAAGCACCCCATCATCTGATTGTAGCACATTCTTTGATTGTAGCATCCCCGGATTCCGCGCTATTCTCTCTGCATCCGTTATGTGTACTGCAATTTGACCACGGCCGACCCTCAGGTGTCCCTCAGCTCCATGTGAGAAGCGTGCGGCGAAGGACTCCCAGCTGTAGCACCTGCCCGTGACATGACAGAACATCATTCTGTTCTCTTCCGCCATCAGCTTGCGATGGCATCTCATAGGTCCATACCAGCTGACTTAGGGAATTACTTGGTTACTGCTTCTATGTCACACATGTATCTAGTGTTGTACATTTTATTTTGAAGAGGGAAAAAAACAGCATGATTGAGAAAAAAAAAAGACAAAAAAAAACTATGCAAGCGTTGCATGAATTCTGATTCTTTTTACCGTTAAGTATTTTAGTAATGCATCGTTTCTGGTTGTGCCCGTTGTCTTGCAGTGATGGTCGTCTTTGGGGCGGTTTCCTTCTCCACTTAGATCCTAACAGCACTCTCACTCACTCCCACAAGTTCAAGTTGAGCTGGGCACTCACTCGCTTGTCGCACTTTGAAAGTCCTTCACTGAAAACCGTCTCCAGATCGGATTGATGAATGATGTCCTGCATGTCTTAGTTCTACAATTAGCTATTTTCATTCTATTTTGCCAGAGAGGACCAATGAATGAACAACTGATGAAGCGGTTGAGGTTTATTTCCAATTTATGAAGCACAATTTTTGCGAGGTTATTATTTAATTTCCTCTGTCTTATTCTGTATGCAATACTAAGTCTAACGAAAAATGAAACGCCTTACACCATCTGGACTTCCTCTTTAGTGAGAGTAGGAGGGGATAAAAAAAAATGAGAAAAAAAATTGCACTACTTCTTTTTGGGGATGGTTGCTTTGTAATGCAATAACTGCACTAAATCTAACCCTGTATCCAGCACACCACCAGAGTGCGCTAGCGTGACAACACGCCTCTTCTAGTCTTCTGGCTCCTGATCAAAGTTAAGACATTTCCTGCCTGATGCTGTAAAGAATGCTTTCTATTTGAAAAATAGATTTACAATGCTAAAAAAAAAAATGACCAACAAAATAAACACATTTTATGTACTTCAATAGTTTGTGTCCTATATTGTGTTTCCTACTAGGCCTATTAGTTAAGGCCAAACGGTACATGAACCTACAGCCGCTGCTTTCTGTAGTCAGAAAAAGCAGGATTACAGAGGATGAGATGACATAATTTCTTCAAAATTTAAGCTGTTCAGAAGCACCATTTTTTTTCTTTCAAATGTACACATTTAGTGTCGTTGGCCCATCGCTTGATATGCAGCGGGCCTAACGTGATCGGTTCATTACAATAATCAAGAACTGATATTACATTATATGCTTATGTTTTCAACAAATATTCAGCATGTTTATGGACAGCAAAAAAAACATGCATATGTTGATTATTTATTCACAAGACTGACTTTTTTTTTAATATAAATGCTTGTAATTGAAATTGTACATGGTAATTTTTCAAAGTAAAAGCAGAAAAAAATATGGGTAATTAGGGGAGGAAAAAAAAGAAGTCAACTCCTGTTCTGCACTTATCCTGACTTATTTCCAGCACTGCCAATGAGGATCATCAAGAGGAGGATCTGTTTTTGTGACGTGTACTGAATTCTCAAGACAAGTTCTCAGTTACCAAATTTTAAACCAGTTCAAATTTTAAAAAAGACCTCAAGCTAAGTTCTTTGTAGGTGTGGTTCAAGCAAAGATTGTCTCCTCTCGTCTCTTCTTGGTCAAGATGGTTCCAGGTTTGTGTTGTGCATCCGGGTGGTTGGCCAACTCTGGCGGGCATGTGGACACGGGGCTCTCGAGGATGGCCTGCTTCAAGTCGTAGAACACAGCCGAGTCCTCCTTGGTGAGGAAGGTCATGGCCACGCCGCTCTTACCGGCACGACCCGTACGCCCAATACGATGGATGTAATCTGGGAGGAATCATTCATGGAATGTTACTCGAGTGGGCCAACTATGCAGCCCAAAACTCCAAAAAAAGCAAATTACAACAGCACTCAAAATGGTGCTGGTACACGGTATAAAAAGTGTAGTTGTGTTTATGCTTCCGTTTGTTTGTTAGAAGACAATTACATGATTTGACTTCAGCAAAAGACATGTCGGGGGAGAAGCACTTACCTTCAATGTTCTTGGCCATGTCGTAGTTGATGACCATGGACACGTCCTGGATGTCAATACCTCGACCAGCCACGTCTGTGGCCACCAGAATGTCTTTGGCGCCCGCCTTAAGGTTGGAAAGTGCAAACTCTCTCTGCTCCTGACCTTTGCCACCATGCAGTGTGCAAGCATTGTACTGTGAAGAGAAATTGTAACATCTCAGGTACTATAAATTGTAACATACTGTAGTCATACTGTACATACAGAGGAAACAGTATAAACATGATTATAACCAGTATCGGGATAACAACATAATTGAAATATAAAGAAAAACAAACAACAACAAAAAAATCACCAGACAATGTACAGTCAAAGATTGGAGGATTTTGGAGCGACGAGGAGGTAAAAAAAAAAAAATCCTCTCAACAAATTTTGGCGGCAGTGAACGTCACCTTGCTTCACTTGACCACTCCTTCTAGCTAGTTAGCGAACTCAAGCTAAATGATTTTTTTAAAAATACGTGTTGCCAACCCCAGCACTTTATCCAGCTGTTAATCTTTCCCGCTCAAGTCAGTTATTCAAGGGCTCAAGTCAGGGATACGAACACTAACTTAAAGATCTAATTCCCACTTCCTTTCCAGTACAGAAACAAGTGCATACAGGCTCTGGTTGTGGTTTTCTCAACAAGTAGGGCGCACGCACGTAAGCACACACATGTTCTCCCTGCACACAGCAAAGCACATTATGCTAAATCCAATATAAACAAAAGAGAAATCAACATTTAAAATTCTATCACGTTTCACCAGAAGGCTGTATCCCGAGTCATATCAAAATACATGATCTGTGGTGCAAGGGTACACAATTTAAAAAACAAATCACAGTGACTTACGCCCATCTTCTCCAAGGACTTTGCCAGCACGTCACAGCCCTTCTTCTGGTTGACAAAGATAATGATGGGTGGCTCGAAACCATGCGCCAACACCTCCAGCAGTTTCTTCCTGTACCACACAAATCACATGACCCCAAAAGTGTTGTTGGAAAGCCCTTTGAGCAGCAAATTCTATGCTGCACTTTTACGTCACGTGTCTCACCTTTTCTCTCCCTCGGACATGAGCAGCACTTTCTGTTCGACTCTCTCATGAGGTTTGCCCGCGGACCCGATGTACACCACGGCGGCGCGTCTCAGGTAGCTCCTCGCCAGTCTCTCCACAGCGGGAGGCATGGTTGCCGTGAACATGACAGTCTGCAAGACAGCAACCAAACAATCAATGGAAGTCCAATGGAGCACGGAAACGGCAACACCGAAGATTGACATACTTGTCTGTATTTATGTTTCCCAGATTCAAAGTTCAAGGTCATTTTCTCAGGGTCCTCAGCTTCTTCAGTGTCCGGTTTCTGATTGGTCACTGGGATATACTCCAGAATCTTTTGGACATCAGGCTCGAAGCCCATATCAATCATACGATCAGCTTCATCCAGGACCACGTAGGTGCAGCGACCCAGGACCAGGTAACGGTTCTCCAGCACGTCGATCAGACGACCAGGGGTGGCGATAACAATCTGTTGAAACGTGTGAACGGTTGGTGTGCTGTCCAAGAAGCTACTCAACACTAATTATGTCTGGTTAGCTGAGCATCATCCTCCTATCGACAAGACGCATTCAACTAAATTCATGGGGTGCATTGACTTACAAGTTTCATTCGTTCTGTGACCAAGCTCGTAACTTCATTTACTCATTCGTATATTACATCACTGATTACCATGAAATTAATTTCAATGCTTTTAATCCATTCCAGCCAGGAAAAAAAACACAGTGATTTTTGGGGTTGCAAGAAAAACAATCAAACTAATACTGTATTATAAAATATAAAACATAATAAAAGATATAAAGAAGTAAACTAGTTGTCACACACATATACACACAGTGGTACAGTAGTGTATTCATGTGCCAACGTGTGTCTAGTTAGCGAGTGATGTCAGAGCCTGGAGTCAGCCAGTTTGGTTTACCAGACGGTTAAACCCTTTTCACACTGCACTTTCAGTGCGAAAGGGTTGTGCTGCAGCCCAGAAAGACAACGGTGCCGCAGTTGCCGACGTGCCCAGAATCGGGTGTGCTGCTGCAGCAGCCGACTAGGAATTGAGCACAGAGACTTTTGCCACTGGTTGAGACGAGAAATAGTTGCAAATAGCTCCATCAAAATTGCTATGAGGTATATTTTCTGAGCGGGGAGCAGTGTCTTCTTAAAAACATCACTCTATGTCATCTCTCGTGTCTCCTAATACAATACAATTGTCACATAGTGTATATATAAGACAGAAGCGAGCGGCATCTCACCTCACAGCCCATCCTGAGACGGAAGCCCTGGTCCTCTCTGGAGATTCCTCCAATAACAGCCACGGTACGGATGCCGAGCGGTTTACCAAACTTGATTGTTTCCTCCTCGATCTGCTGTGCCAACTCACGAGTCGGGGCCAGGATCACAGCATAAGGACCCTGGTCCGAGTCTTCGATCCTATACCGATGAGATGCCATGAACGAGTGTGAGTCGCAGGGATGACGGCGTCAAGGCAACTTGTTCACAGGTCACTTCAGCCTGCATGGTATCTCTCACCTGTCAATCTTTGGAAGGGTAGTGATCCAGACGAGCAGCGGGATGAGAAAAGCAGCCGTTTTCCCGCTACCCGTCTCGGCCACACCGATGATGTCACGGTTCTGTAACCCAATAGGAATGGCTTGCCTCTGAATAGGGGTTGGATCCTGGATGTGAACAAGAAAACAAATTGCTGTTGGTAAATAAATGCAACACAGTGGCATGATGACAAAATAATTCTGTAAAAAAAAAACAAGTGGCACATAAGTCTGTATTACAGTGTTTTGCCGACATGCTGACCTTGTAGCCACATTTGTCGATGACCTCGAGGATGTGTGCAGGCAGCTGGTACTCCTTCCAGTTCCTGATGGGGTTCGGGATTTTTCCTCCCTTTGTGGTAATGCTGTAGTCCTCCCGGAAGATTCTCCAATCTCTGTCGGTCATCTCATCCAGCTTCTTCTGAGACCAGTGCCTGTCGTCCCAGCGTTGCTTGGCTTCTTTCTTACGCATCTTCTTCAGTCTCGTCCTGAGAGCAGGGACGAGCAAAGACGGTGCCCAGACAAGAGGGTGAGTTGGGGCAAGGGGGTCATGGTGGGATGGCAGGTCATTCAAAAACAAAAATCTGTACTCACTCTTCCTGCTCCTTCTCCTCCATCGTACGCCTTTTCTCCATCAGGTCACCATAGAAACGTGACTGCTCTCTTTTCTGCTGCTTAAGATCTATTCCAGCGATGAACCCACGTCCATACAGCTGCACCGAATGTTTTTCTTTGTATCTGTGGCACCAACACATTGATCACATTCTTCTGATGTACCCTCAACCAGTCATTCCCAGTCAGAATATCGAGGTACAATAGTGTGCCTGTGCCCTAAGAGATCATCAGGGGTGCTGCAGGGAAATACTGCCTGAAACCAGTGTTGACCTATATTGAGGCCAGGCATATATTTTACTAGGACTGCGGCAAAATGAAAATTCTCAGTCTAAACTTAGAACTGAAAATTAAGACACCAAGGCCAACAATGGACAGAGAGAAAGAAACTACATTACCTTAAAAATATGGAATTTTAAAAAATCGGGTAGATCATTTTCTGCATCAAATTTGTTTGAGCTCTTCGTTCGCA